TAACCACACACGGACGCAAAACTTTCATCTATATTACCCACATCAAACAAATATTTGATGTGGTTAGGATTCTTATTATAAGTGTTTTTTTATTTATTTAAAAAATAAAGAAATAGAAACTTCATTAATTTGGACAAATTACAAAAGACCCCCAAACTATAAGGTCATTTTCAAGTTCATACCCACTTTTGATTTTGGCATTCTAGTGAGGGTGGTGTGACTGGTGACCCTATAATTTCGGAGGTCTTTTGTAGTTTTTCCTTTGTACAAAGTAGTACAACCAGAACAACTGTAAATAAAAAGAAGGAATATATATATATATATATATATAATTTTTTTTTTTTTGGACGAAAGAAGAAAGAAGAAAGAAAAAAGAAAAAAGAAAAAGAAGGAATATGAGAATGAATAAAGAAGCCAATAATTTGGGCCACTCAGCTTTACAAAAGCGGCTTTAATAAATAAAATTTAATAAAAATAATATTTTTAAAGTGGCTTTCACCTGGCTTATAAAAAAACGACCAACGCCTCTCCTCCCACTTCCCAAGCTGCTTGTTTTGTTCTTTTTTTGTCAGAGAGATTGTTTTTTTTTCTTCTTTTTCTTTCTTCTTTCGGGTCGAAACAGAGGGATTGCTTTATTAACGTTTTCTTCTTCCTAATCTTGACTACAGGGGTGAACTCAAACTGGTAAGGCTTATGTCTTTTAATCATGCATGCAAAAATTTGTTTCTACATTTGTTGAAAGATTTCATAATTTATTTCTTTCTACATATTAGAAATATATAAGTTGTGACCAAAATTTTTCAAAAAAGAAAATGCTTAACTTTAATTAAAATGTTTTGAATTTGAAGGATGAACAGAAAGAGGTGATGCGGTAATCTAAGTTTTGCGCCAGCTGAGGCTGTGGAAGAAGTAGAAGCCTTTTGAACTAGTTTGAGAGCACCTCCATATCCATACAGCAAAGATGCTACCAGCAGTTGAACCGCGCGATCAAGTGGCGATTCTAATCGAGGGTAAAGTGCGAGAAACGCCCTCATTTTGGCCAGATTGTTGTATTTACAAAGTCCCCGAGAGATTTCGCAAAGGAAATGAAGAAGTCTACAAACCCTTGGTGGTCTCAATCGGACCTTATCACTTTCACCAAGGCAGTTTCCCACAAATGCAAATCTTTAAACTCAAATACTTAGAGGCCTTCTTGGGCCGAAACCATCTCAGCTTAGACCATTGCCTTGGCCTTATGAGAACGTGGGAAGAAAAAGCCAGGCGTTATTACGCCGACCCCATTGACCTAAGCAGTGATGAATTTGCCGAGCTGATACTGGTGGATGCAATTTTTGTCTTGGAGCTTTTGCTCAGGTATCAGTTTGCCCAATATATAGACGAAGGCGATCGAATATATGGAAAGCTGCGTATGATTGAAGATGTTATGCGTGATGTCATGTTGATTGAGAACCAAATTTCCTTCTTTGTTCTTGAGGGTTTGTATGACCTAGTTGATAGCAGCTACAAAGGAAATCTCAAGTTGGTCGAGCTTACGCGTGAGTTCTTCAAGTGTTACGTAAAAATCGACGAGTTTGGTGCTGATCATGCACCTGAGCCTGGAGTTGATTATGGAGTACAGCATTTTGTTGATTTTATACGATACTACTACTTGCCCCCACCGCCTAGTGAGGATGCATATAATGCAAGGGTTTATGAAATCCCTATCCCACCAAGTGTGACAGTGCTAGACGATGCCGGAGTTCAGTTTGTGACAAGAAGAACAACCTTCTCACTTGACATACAATTCAACAACGGAAGTCTCATAATTCCAAATTTTAGAGTTGACGATTGGACAGAAACTCTCTTCAGGAACCTCATCGCCTTTGAACAGTGCCACGATCACCAAGTGAAGTACATTTCGCAATTGATGTTCCTCATGGGGGCCATGATCAAGACTTCAAAGGACGTGGACTTGCTCATTGAACATGGAATTATATATAATATGCTGGGGAGTAACGATGATCTGTCCGCTCTATTTAACCGCATTGGCCAAGGGGTTGCGGTCGATTCGCAAACTTATCATTACCTTATCCTTTCCCAAAGACTCAATGACTACTGCAAGGCTCCTTGGCCCAGATGGAAATCAATTCTGAAGCGCCACTATTTCTACTCTCCATGGAAAGAAGTTGCTGCAATTATACTCGTGCTCACACTCATCCAAACCCTATGCTCAATCTTATCCGTATCGCTTAATTAGGTCCACGGCCAGAACTTAAGATTAAGGCCTTGTGTATGCACGTATGTTCTTGCCAAGTGTTAAAACTGAAATAATTTTGTTATGCCATGAGCTTATGTTGTTCTAGGTTGCCAACGAGGTAGTGGAAAAGAGCCCTGACTTGCAGATTAGTAGTCTCAAGTTCGAACCCCCATGGCATCTTAGTAGTGCGTGTGTGAAAAAAAAAACCCTTAGTACTGTTAATGTGATTGTCTTTATTTTTCGATTATGTTCTATGGTTTGGCTACTCCATTCGAGATTTCAAATCTCCCTAAGATAAAGTCAGTGATTAAATGAAATTAATTGTTGATTCGTTGAGTAAAGCGGTTTTCACTGTAACACCCCGACCCTAGTTTATTTATCTATTCAATTATTTAATTAAATTTAAATATGAATTTACAATTTCGCCATCTGGGTAGGGGTAATTTGGTCACTTTTTAACTGGGAAGGATTTTGGAGACATGCACTTTTACGTAGATCGTACCGAGATGAGTCCGTAGACACATAGTGGGCTCTAATCGAAACTGTAACGAAGAAGTTACGATCAAAATAAACCCAGTGGCATAACCGTAATTTCTGCGAAATGGGTTTAATAAAATTTGATTTTTCTTCTTTCTCTCTCTCTCTCTCTCTCTCTCTCTCTCTCTCTCTCCCCACGTAACAGCCCCCCAAACAGAAACGGCAGCCGCTTCTCTCCTTTGCCATTGCCGTCACACGCCGCCATTCTTGGCTGCACCGGTCCCAAAAGGACCGCCTCTCCTCCCTCTACCAATGTTGTATTAATAATTGACACAAATAAATGTGCTAATCATAATTAAAAATACCCGCAAGTGCACGAATCCATTGGGGTATAGATTTTGTAAGTACGGGGTCGATCCCATGAGGAACTGTCAACTTATTAAAAGTTCTAATTTGAGTACGTAAAGAACATTTATTTAACACAACACAAATGTACAATACAAATTGAAAACTAAAAATGAGTAAAGAAATGTAAAAGAAATGAAAGAAAACAAGAAACTAAAGATAAAAACAAATAGCAATTTTTATCACCCTTTTATCACCACTGTATCACCTGTTTATCACCTATTTATCACATGTTTATCATCATTTGGACATATTCGTTTCTCTGTTTTTCAGCTTCGACCTCTGTTCAGTGTTTGACCTATAACTTTCTAACTGTTTGTCCAAATTTCATGGACCAAATGTCAAAAACAGTTACAAAAATAAACATAATTCAGTGAAGAAAACACACAAAGTTTCAAACAACACATACACACGATTTCTTTTTTTTGGGGGGGGTGGGGGGGGGGTTGATTTGATTTGAGTGACCTAATTCTAATGCTTGAATGTAATTGAACTCTAAATTTAACAAGAATGACAGAGATGAAAATCAAAGTGTGAAAATAATATGTAACTTCAGAATCCACCCTAAACAATCCTACTCATGTTCATGGACACTCAAGTGATGAACCTCTAAATGTGTTGATGAAGTGTTCGCAATCAAGACCGGTTTAGTGGCTCAAAATGCATGATTCTCTTTAAAATAAGTAGAGTGCAGGGCTAGTGCTACAATACTTGTGCCTTCCCTATAATCAATCTAGGTGTGCTTAATTTGATTACAAGAAAAACCAATTAAGTTCAAAGAGAATATGAACATCACAAGAACCCTAATAGTATGATGTTTACATTAGGCATTCAAGAAACCAATTCACATGGATAATTCTTACTTCATCCATTTATTGCTTAGGAAAACATGAGAATACACATAATCCCAACAACCTCAAGAAGCATGCTTTCAAAGGTGATTAAACAAAGAAAAACATACATCAAGGATAGATTATTTTAGTGAATGGGAATTCATCAACAATATCTAAAAATTCATACACTCAAGCATCAAAACAATAGAGTATTTGTTGTATTCCTAAAAGGACACGAATTAATGTGCAAACAACCAATTAAAAATACCCACAAGTGCACGAATCTATTGAGGTATAGATTATGTAAGTACGGGGTCGATCCCACGAAGAACTTGTCGGCTTCCTATAAGTTCTAATTTGAGTACGTAAAGAACACTAATTTTACACAACACACAAACACAGTACAAATTGGAAACTAAAAGTGAGTAAAGAAATGTAAAAGAAAAGAAACAAAACAAGAAACCAAAGAAAAACAGAAACAGCACTTTTTATCACCCTTTTATCACATATTTATCACATATGAACAGTGCTGTGAACAGTAAAAATGAACAGTGACAACCGGTCATTTTGTGGCAGATTCGTTTCTCTGTTTTTCCAGTTTCGACCTCTGTCCAGTGTTTTGCCTATAACTTTCCAACCGTTTATTCAAATTTCACGTTCTTTATACGGTTGGATTCAGCACAGAAAAACGAAGAAATAGTGCGGACTAAAAGTCCAAAACAGTTACGAAAATAAACAGAATTCAATAAAGAAAACACACAACGTTTCAAACACACACACACAACACACTTGGGGGGGGGGGGTTGGTTTGGTTCAAGTGACCTATTTCTAATGCATGAAAGTAAATGACCTTTGAATTTAAATGAGAATGGCAGAGATGAATTATCAAAATGTGAAAGTACCAAGTAACAAACACTAGGGTTTCGGAATCCACCCTAAACAATCCTACTCAAGTTCGTGAATACTCAAATGATGAACTCTAAATGTGTTGATGAAGATGTTCGCAATCAAAACCATGGGTCGTGGCTTAAGACGCATTGATTCTCTCTAGTATACGTAAAGTGCATGGTTCGTGCTACAATACTTGTGCCCTCCCCATAACCGAACCTAGATATGGTTCGTACTTCGATTCAATTACAAGGAGAACCCATTAAGTTCAAAGAGAATATGAACATCACAAGAATCCTAATAGCATGATGTTTATATTAGGCATTCAAGCAACTAATTCACAGGGTCCCAACAACCTCAAGAAGTATGCTTTCAAAGATGATCAATCAAAGAAGAACATATATCAAGGATAGATTATTTTAGTGAATTGAAATTCATCAACAAAATCTAGAAATTCATACACTCAAGCATCAAAACAATAGAGTAATCACGTTTAGGGCTTCAACCTAAGCCCTAGCTATGGAGTTCAGTTGCTCATACTTATTTCAAATACAAACTCAAAATAAAACTAGAAAGAAGTTACAGATTTTGTGAACATGGGAGCTCAAGGTCTTCAATGGTGGAAATCTCTTCCACTTCTTGCTTTGTTGCCCTTGTCTTCCTCCTTGAGCTCCCTAGCTCCAAGCTTCATCTCCAGCTCCAAAATCTCTACAAAAATTATGGAATAAATGAAATTGAATTGCTTCCCCCATGTTCAATAGCCCTTTCATTTCAGATTGCACTCCCTTGCCCATCATTTCCAGCTCATACTTTTAATATAAAAGTCTTGCTTTTGTTAAAGCCTTTGCCTTTGTCCCCTTGCCATGATGGGTTTCTTTTGCTCTTGTCTTCACCAAGATGCTCATTGCTTCAGAAAATATCTCTTAACCAAAGTAATTTCTTGTTACCAAATGGTATGGTAACAAGAAGAATCAAGATGATACTTATGGAGGTAAAAGCTGGAGCAAAACAATTCTCTAGAGCTGCTGTAACATGTAGGATCAGTTGGATAGGCTATACTTGTCCAATGGAGCTCAAATTCGGATATATTGTAGTTAACATCCATTGGAACAAGTTTCATGAAGATCTTCTCCTCATCCGAGCACCAGAGCATGCTGATCCAAGGCCAAGAAGTTGACCTACGAAAATGAACAAAATCAGAATTTATAACCAATAATGCACTTTTAGCTCATTTTCATTCTAACCAAGGTAAAACCTATGAAAACACAAAAAAAGAAATAAAAAGCTATAAAATCTCAAGAACTAACTCAAAATAATGGGTGAATAACATGATAAATCATGTGTAAAAATGAATCGAACAGTATTCATGTTTAGGGCTTCAACCTAAGCCCTAGCTATGGAGTTTAGTTCCTCATACTTATTTCAAACACAAATTCAAAACAAAACTAGAAAGAGTTTACAAATTTTGTGAAAGTGGTGGAAGCTCAAGGTCTTTAATGGTGGAAATCTTCTTCACTTCTTGCTTGGTTGCCCTTGTCTTCCTCCTCTAACTCTCTAGCTCTCAAAACCTGCTCTCTATCTCTGCAAAAATGAATAATCTGCTCTCTCCAACTCAAAGACAATCTGCCCGAATGAATTCATCCGTTGAATTGTGGTTGATGCCTTCTCTATGCTCCTCTCTCTCTCCTCCTTTCCAACTCACCCTTTGGTCTTTGTCTCCTCCTTGTCTCCTTGTCATGATGAGTTTTTGTCTTCACAAAGATGCTCTTTGTCTCAGAAAATTGCACTTCATCAAAGTAATTTCTTGTTACCAAATGGTATGGTAACAAGAAGAATCAAGATAACACTATGGAGGTAAAAACTGGCCCAAGACAAATCTCTAGAGTTGTTGTAACATGCAAGTAAGTTGGATAGGCTATACTTGTCCAACGGAGCTCAAATTTGGATATGTTATAGTCAACATCCATTGGAACAAGTTTCATGAAGATCCTCAGCTCATCCGAGCACTGGAGCATGCTGATACAAGGCCAAGAAGTTGACCTACGAAAATGAACAAAAACAGAATTTATAACCAATAATGCATTTTTAGTTCATTTTCATTCTAACCAAGGTAAAGTCTATGAAAACACAAAATGAAAGTAAAAAGCTAAAAAAAGTCAAGAACTAACTCAAAATAATGGGTGAATAACATGATAAATCATGTATAAAAATGAACCCAACAACCAGCCCCACCCCATCCCAGCCACGATCCACCGCTGCCGCTGCTGGAAAATGTAAAAAACAGGCCGGATTTTACGTGCTTTTTTGGAAGCTAGTTCGGGTTATTATGGCAACCAAATTCTTCGAACTTGGTATGTTTTCTCATCCTTTCAATCTGTTCTGGCTGCTGGTTGTGGTAGTTAGGAGAAATTTTTGCGTTTTGAGATGTAAATAAGCGATGGAAGTTTTGGCAGGTTTCGGCCCCCGATTCTGGCCACTTCCGGTGACTTTTTGGGGTAGGTCCAAGAACAAAAGTTGCTCCACTCTATGTGCCCTTCATGTAGGTATAAGTCTTGACCGACGGTTTGGAGTTTTTCCTATCAGCGGAAATTAATTTGG